AGACTCTTCCCTGTGAAGCAGTCAAACCATCGACCCCGAATGCTTAGGATAGGACGCAAGCAATTCAAAGGCAAATAGTGTTCTGGATTTATAATTTTGTCAAGAGAAAAAGACCCATAAAAACAGATGTTAAACTTGAAGCATTCCTTTTGTGGAAAACCATTGTAAGTAGGATATGATTTGAGAGAAGCTTAAAACGCCCCTGAAAATGAACTGTTTACCGGATCCAGTAGCACTACCTAGAAGGGATGTTTACTGACCAGAAATAAACCTCCCAAGATGAGGGCCCCAGACCACCACATCAGAGACTCTCCTGGGCTGCGGAGTCTCTCATTAGTTACAACTGCTGCTGATGACAGGAGAGAATTACAAGTCATTCTCATGGTGAACTAACAAAAACCCTTACCAGAATTCCTGGAGCCAAACAGAAAGGAGCTCTGTGACTTTCAGATCCAAACCTCTGCTACGTTAAGTTCTTTTACAGCTTCCTCTGATTATAATATTTCAAAGGAAACACCTAAGGAAACCGTGAATGCCTGATAACAGCCTTCCATGTTGTAAGGGCAACTGAGTACTCAGCTACGGCTGCTTGCATTTTCAGCCTGTAGTACCCTCCGTGTGCAGATAACACGACTTTTCCCCGTGCTCATTTCCCTTTGCGTGTGCCTGTGCATGCGTGTTTCGGCAAGCAAGCTTCAGACACGGCCTGTGGCTTTGTTCTGGACGTATGGTGACTGTCATACAAAGCTTCGAGTGGCTTTTATCATCACAACCCGTTGGGGAGACCATTTAGGGGTGTGTTTGCATCTAGATGAGCTCTCTGCAAAGTCAATGACTTCAAAGGTCTGGGGAACTGCCAAGTCTTCCAAGTTGTGTGATCAATATTCTCTAAGAGAGACGAGAAGAGAACATACTTTGGGGAGCATGGCCAACGGCACCCCCAGCCTGGACACTGTGCTTGCCCGTAGCTCCTGACGTGGTGGAACACAGGCATCCACGTCTGCTTGTCCCCTCCTCCGCCATCCAGATTCTCTCCTGAATCAAGCCCTTCCCTGCTGACTGGAACTGAGGCTAAACCATCCACTGGCCATCCAGAACTACTGATTCTGCCTCAGAAATGTAAGCCATGAGACCCGGGTCATGGTCATGGACAGTAGCAGCTCTAGCCATCAAGCAGGGCCAGCGGACAGTGGAACTCACCAGGAGCCAAAGCGTCTGCCCATGGGAGAAAGCGGTTCTGCAACAGTGAGGATACGAGCAGAGACAAGTGACAATGGGGACAGAGACAGAGTGAGATCCCAGGGAACGACCACAGCTCACAGACACACCAGGTAAGCAGGCCAACCTTGGCTCCCAGCCTGTCATCCCCATGTCCTCAAGGCCAGGTCAGGTCCGGAGACTCCGGTCCGATCTCTCAACCACCCCTCCCTTCCCTTTCAGATGGGTTCCAGGTTCTGGCACCCAAAGAACCTAAGAAGGAAGGAAACTTACTACTAGGAGCTTTGTGAGTCTCAGAGTTGCTACTCTCCACCCGAGAGCTCACAGTGAAAATGGAAGCTAGCAGCACCGCCCGCAAGGAAGCCCAGGGCCATCACATCACAGCCGCACCTTCCCAGATGCCCCCACACAGGCCACAGACCACTGGCAAAACCGCCACCTCCTGCCCCATGTCAGCCGGGTGTTCTCAAGTGCTAAGGACTGAGACCACTCCTGGCATATATTGGGTCGCTGGGAAAGTCATGATGCATTTCTGCAGTGGCAATTAAATGTCAACGTGAACTTTTGAGAGGATTTAGTCTGCCTTCTGTGCTGTGGATTCCCACAGCAGTCACCAGTCACAAGAAGGAAGGCCCATGACACTAACACGTAGGTGTGGAAAACAATCACTCTCCAGCCATTCCTTCCAGTTTACCATACAAGTGAGAATTAGCTTCTGGTCACCATCCACCGCTAGTGTGTAAGAGCTTGTCACCAAGTTTACACGTCCCCTCACCTCTCCTCACAACAGAACTGCCGTTCTTGTCCTGTCTCAGCTGCTCCGTATTACCTGATCCGATAACCCGATTCGGAAATCCACGATCTTCAAGCGCCCTGTGGAAACCGAACACTCAGACGGCCATCTTTGCCAGGAAGGCGGCGGACACTGAGGACTGGCCCGACCTGGGAGATGCACTCCAGAGCTCCTATCTGCGTCCCTTCTTCCTCTTTATTTTTTAAAGTTACACGAGATATAAGTGGACCTTAAAAATAAACTGTTCTAAGCTGACGCTGAGTGTCAGAATGAAAAACATGCACGTCCTCACCATTCTCACCAGAGAACGCTGATGTCCTAGCAAGCCCCCGATCGAGGACACCACCCCACTTGCTCCCTCAGAGTCAGAATTCACATAAGCAGCAGTGTATTGCTGGTGTTTTTTTCCTTTTAAGTTTTTAATCTATTAACTATTGATACCTATTTATTTCCTCCCAAAGAACTACTTTTTTTTTTTTTTTTTTCTGATGGGGAAAATAATTCTCCTCTGTATCCACCTTTCTGCTTGCCTCCTATTTCTCAGTTTTCTCTTGGCTAATAAAGAAAGAAAACGTCTTTTCATTTCAACCCAGGAAGCCTTGCAGCTGGTCTCTGAGGCTTTGGGGGCTGGCAGGGAGTTCTGCAAACATGTATGCATCTTCTCTTTTTACCCTACAAGGCAAACTTCAGTCCAAAAACTACCCTATACCTCCCAAGTTAATCAGCCAATCTTACAAACATGGAGCAGAGGCCAGATCTGGGAGAACGGTGTCATCTATAGGAAGACATCCCAGGGGAACACAAAGTTGTTTATCTGCATGCCTTGTTCGTGAGAGAAAGGCTGCTTGCGTATCTGATTATGCCTCTCCTTCTACAGGCCGGGTGAGCAGGCCCCCGTGGCTCCTGGGAAACTGTTACCACACAAGGCGTTGGAAGGCCCTGTGCAGGCTGTGGGTGAGCCTAGGAGCCATGCTGCCCACGCAGAGTTCTAAAGGCGATTTCACTGCCTCCCATTCTGGGGCCCGTCCCTGATGCGGCCTCTCCTGTTTGAGGGAGACCCTACACGGCACACCTGTAGGGATTCCACAGCATGGTCTTTACCTGTTTAGAAACTAGGCCTTCTGCTTTTCAACAGTTGTTACAATGGTGGCAAGAATAAACTGAATCTATGTGTTAACTAACCACTGTGTGCCCAGGACTGGCACAAGCTCTGCAGGAAACACAAAAGAAACAGGAGACAAGGCACAACCTTAGTACTTGAAATTCAAGTTGGAAGCTACAGATACACTCAACACAAACCTAGAAATGACCGAAGGCAGGATAAAATCAAGCACAAGTTTGAGTGGTAGTAATTAAAGTGGTCTTGACCCTTGGCCAACCTGTGTGTCAACACCCTCTTCCAGAATACATGGTGAGTGTGCCCTTCAGAGCACATGGCCAACAAGGGAGTTGAGCCCGAGCCCTGGGCACAGGTGTGAGTTCTGAAGGACAAAGTGAAATGAGGAGTATCCAGTCCTTTTCCACTCTGGGTTTTCCTCCTGAACCTGGGTCCATCAGTGCTGACTCTTGTCCCTCCCCAGAGAACTGAGCTGGTAATATAAACTCACTGTTACTACACTGGGCAAGAGGGCTCGTTCCTTCGCCTCTCCCTAGTAATCCAGGTGTTGAATGTTCTGACTATAAAAGCAAAATCCCCCATGTCTGCCAGAACAATATCAGCCAACAAAGATCCTTTCTCTGGCAAGGAGACCCGTACCCACGGAAGGCTAGTTCACACCCATCAGACTTAATTCACTACCTATTTTGTCTGCGCGTTTCTCTTAAAGACAGACCCCTGCCTCCAGGTGCTCGGCGTGTTCATTTCTGGCCAGTTACTCAACGTTACACCCCATGCTCTGTATACCCAGAGCGCTGCTTTCCCAATCTGTGCCTCATCCCAGTGCAGCGTAAAAGGCAGACACCATTTTATGAAGTGACAACAAAGGTTTCGTCTTCTAAGAAGTGTTTCAGGATTGTTCTCCCATGCTGGCTCTGGGGCAAGCTGCTGAAATTCCCTTTTTCAATCCCCATTTCTCTAGCCAATCTGCCTTCTTTTGTTACAAGCAGACCTCCTTCCTCCCCACAATGCAGCTATCCCCCAAACGGATAACACCGTAGCTGTCTTCAGACGGGATACCCACGTGAGGGCCAGTGTGAGTGAAGGGAAAGACGGGGCAGAAGCCAGTGGGACTACAGGAATAAATATGAAGAAAGGTTTCCTTCTTCACAAATGGAGGGGCATACAATTCCCCCCTCTTAACTCTCTGTAACCTACCATATATTAAAATGCACTGGGACCAGCAGTTGGCGTAATGGCTATGTCGCTTGATTCCCATGTAGTCGACTGCGGTTTGAGTCCTGGACCCGGTGGCTTAAACTCACACAAGGCGCGTGTGCGTGCAGTCCCAAGATCCCGAGGGGAATGGAGGAGAAGGGATTGTGGCATGGCCATCCCCCCTGGGGGGTGATTTCTCGTTTCCTGTCTCTCTGTCTCTCTCTTTCTGGCAAGCACATGCTCCCTATACCAAAAACCTGTCCAAAGGGGAAAAAAAATGCATTAATAAGAAAGCCAAATAAATGTACTATGAGTATGTACGTGGACATGAATTTTTACAGAGTCCTAAAATGGCTCATGCCGGAGGCACTATGAAGAGAAAACGAGGGGAAAGAGAAGCAGAGTATTACAGTGTGGCAGTTAACAGGCAAGAATTTGTTTATTCCCCACCATTCATGCAAAGCCTGCTCTGGCCATGCCCTGTGTGAAGTGCTCCTAGAACACCCCCAGGACCTCGATGGAAAGAGGGTGTCCCTGTTTTTTTTGTCCTTGTCTCTGTCCCTCTTCTCCCGCCCGGCCTCCGCCACACAGAACAAGTTGAAAACATTTACTTACAAACATCCCACCGCCGACCTCCCGGGTCTACAGAAAACGGTGCATAACGCCGCCGCTTACCCTGCCGCGGATGCTCTGGAAGCAGAAGTACTGTGGGGCTCTCCGTGGCCTCTAGGCGTGCTGCGGCGGCTCTCCGAGTCGCTCACGTGTCCTTTCCCCAGGGACGGCCTGCTGTGTGCCAGGGCCGCGGGCCCATCCTCATACCCATTCAGCAGGCGGTGCCCGGCTCGCGTCCTTGTCCTGGCTGGCTGGCGCCCCTCGCGGTCATCCTCGCGTGCGGCTGGGTGGTCTCGGGACAGTTTGTATCCATGAGAAATCAGCAGGTCTTCCACACTGTACATGGTGCCCAGCCCCATCAACGCTCAGCCGCTCGAACCATCATGGGGGCGGGACCCACCTCTGGGGGGACAGCAGAGAGCTCGGTTTGTGCCCAGTTCTCCCCGGAATTCAGTCTGACAGCCCCTCCTCCCCTCCCCCCAGCAAACCAGACTGTGCTGAGAACACAGCATGCAACCTGGACTGACTGTAGAGGGATGCTGGCTGCTCGGCAGACGCCCCGTTTTACCCAGCGCAGGGGTGGGAGCAGCCCAGGCTCTGCGGGGTGTGGCAGCAATTCCACAGCAAGGGGCTCACCCTCTGATGGCCCCACCCAGCAGGAGAGTGGGAACCACACGCAAGCAGTGAGATGACTGGCCCTGCCCACTGTCCCACTCCACTCTGCCCCAAGCAACAGGCAGAAGAGTGAGCACAAAATAAACCCAGAAGGGAAGCCGTGAGGATTGCTTCATGCTTCTAAAAGGAGAACTCTCAGTACCCAGCTTCATCCTGGGGTGCCCCCCCATCATCTTGCCCGCCTGCCTTGGGTCGGGTGGGGTCGCTAATCAACATGCAGCAGAGCAGACCCTGGTAGAAGCAGTGGAGGCGGCCAGCTGCCCTAGTGGTAACGGGCAGCAGAAAATAGATTCCAAGGGCCAGCTGGTAGGGAGGTGGCTAAGGCGGATCCCACATGCCCACACAGTTCAAGTCCCAGACCCAGCAATTTTAAAAATACATGGGTGCAGGTGTGTGCATGCCCCAAATTCCATGAGAGCGGAGAAGGGATTGCAGCCTGACCACTCCCCCAAGGGGTGCTTTCTCACCATCCCTCGCTCTGCGTGTCTCTGTGAGTGCACACGCCCTATAGCAAAAATGAAAGGATTTAAGTGTTTCCGCTTAGAGCAAGCAAACAGCACCCCATCAAGCACACACGTCCAACCTGTTTACAATCTCAAAGGTCCTTTTTCCACACAGGCTTTTTGAGCTGAATTTCTAGGGCCAGCAGATGATGCAGTAGTAAAGGTGCTGGACTCCCGTGTGGCCAACCATGGTGTGAGTCCCAGACCTGGTGGCTTGAAAACTCATGCCAGGCACTTGTGCATGCATGGCTAAAATCCCAGGAGAATGGAGAAGTGACTGTGGTGTGGCTATCTCCCGGAGGGTATTTGTTTTGTTTTGTTTTGTTTTTCCCTGCCACTGTCTATCTCTTTCTCTCTCTCTGGTGAAAACACACATCTTATGACAAAAAAAAAAACTGAATTTTTCCCAGTGAACCCTGGGGGAGCATTTCGCATCACTCGGTCAAGGATGCCCGCACTCAGATCCTACACTGGTGCCTACACCGACAGCACCAACAAAGAACAAAACGAGGGGACAGCAACTTACAGAAGAGCGGCAGGTGGCACTGCTGTGTTTTTATTTTCTTAAGTTTATTCACTTCTTCCATGAGAAACAGAGAAAGAGAGAGAGGGGCACACGCAGGGGAGTCTTCCTGCCACAATGGACCCCCAGACTTAGCCGGCCCCGTTCACAGATGGATGCGTGCGTGCCTGGTATGCTCAGGGCGGTCCCAGGACACGAACTCAGGACCTCTCTCCTGTGGGGCCTCGCATTAGCACTGTGCCACACCTGGCCCCACCTTGTTTACTTCCAAACGAGAGAACCTTCTCTCCCAAGTCTCCCCTTCATGAAGGAGGTGTAAGACGGATTCTGGTCAGACAGATGCACCCCTGCCCCACGAGTCTGGCTGGCAAGCAGCACACATGAAGCCACCCCTAAAGGAGGACTAGGTCAGCTCCAACCCCATTTGGTTGGCGACGGAAACGGAGCTGCTGCAGTCTCCAGGAACAATGGCCAGGAAATGCCTGCTGGTCCGGGCAGGTGAAAGGAAGACGCGTGTGCTTCCTGTCTGTGGGAACCCTCCCTCGGCCCACCGCGCTGTTCTGCTGACTGCACGTGCCCTCGCTCCTCATCACCCACTGGATCACGGGGCAGGGAAGTCCCGCTGTTGGCAAGGGGAGTGTCGCACTTCGGAAGTCTACTGTTTTCCACCACATCCCTCCATCTTATGGAGGGCTGACAAGCTCTGGCGGTGGCTGTCCTAAGAGAAACACCTCCAGAGCAATGCTCCCGTTCAGGACACGCCTACTTTCCATCTCTCCAGGAGCTGCACGACTGGAGTCACTCACTTACAACAGGGAGACCCAGAGAAGCAAGCAGCCATTCTTTGATACGGCGGCCAAGTCACCGGGTGAGTGATGACAGAAACCCAGAGGGCGGGGTCTCTGTCCTGTTCTGTGTTCTATCCCCAGCATCCAGCACACAGAATGCTTTTAGGAAAAGCTTGACTGACTGCACGAATGAGAGGAAGGGGGCATTTGAGCTAGCTTCTGAAGAGCAGATGCTCATTAGATAAACTGCATGTGCATATGAATGAAGAGAGGTAACTGGCATTGAAAGTAGAGCGTGAGGGGCCCAGGCAAGGTGTTATACACTGGTACACGCTGCTACTCGGCAGGATGAGGACACTAGGGAGGCCCAGGTTCCATTCCCAGCCCACCCTAAGAGCCAGGAGCAGTGGCATGAGCCTGTAGTCCTAGCTACTGGGAAGATGAGACAGGAAGATCATGCACAGAGCGGCTCTGTCTAAATTTAAAACAAAAGCAATAGCAAAAAGACTACAGGTACAATTATGCCTTGAGTAAAGAAGTAGCTAAACAACAGAATCCTGGTAGCCTAGACCAGAGACCCCAGACCCACAAGTCACATATCCAGGCAGCACCACGAGGTTGGAGGTGAGCACTTAGGATACTCAAGGTCTCTCTCTTCCTGCGGCAGGCTCTTTTCAAGAAAAGTAAATCCCACGGCACTCCCATTGGGTGTCCAGGACATGGAGGAGTGGGGCAGTGCTCAGCACAGATGCATGTGTCACTGCCCATTTGCTAAAGTGGTAAAGAAATAAGCTTCAGGGGAATAGCAGATGACATAGTGGTTACATTGTTGGACTCCCACGTGGCTGACAGGTTCGAGTCCCGGACCTGGAGGCTTAAAACTCATGCTGGGCACACGTGTGGGTGCGCAAGATCCCAGGAGAACAGAAGAAGTGTTGTGGCATGGCCATCCCCTCAGGGGGTGATTTCTCATTTTCCCTCTCCCTAGGTCTGTCTGTCTCTCTTTCCAGGAAGAGCATGTACCCTAAGGCAAAAATCTCTTTAAAAAAAAAATGAAGAGATAATCTTCACAAAACACAGATGTGGGTCATTTTCCTACTGGACTTAGGTGGCTTGATTCAATATAGCTATGTGTCTGCATGGTAAACATCCTTCAAAACAGATTCAATTCGTGTGGTGGTGAAGGCACTGGACTGCCACAAAGCTGACCACGGTTCGAGTCCCAGACCTGGCAGTGTGCTCTCCCACTTTCTTTCTCTCTGGTGAGCACACATGGCCTATAGCAAAATTAAAACAATAAATAAAACAATAATTTATCGTTATTATTTAACAATAAATAAAATTAAATAAATGTTAAAAAAAAAAAAAAAGAAAAATTCAACTCATAAAAGCTGTAACTTGACCTTAGAGGTCTGAGGTAAAGTATTTCAGTGGGAAGCCCTAACTCAGAGGCCAGCAGCCTGTGGGGCACAGGAGTCCGGCACTTGGCACTTGGAACTTCCTGGAAGGGCCAAAGAAGGCAGGTGATACCTATAGCCCTGGCGCATGACCCAGACGGCTGACCCTAGCTGCCATCCAAGGTTGCGGCACACTTCTCTTGGGCTTACACTCTGCCTTTCAGTCCCAGCTCAGAGCTTGGATCCGACCTCGTTTCCACACCCACGCTCAGTGTTAACCTGTGCCCTCACACGAACTGCTGAAGAGCCACGTTCTTTTCTAATCCTGCCGTGTCCAGGTGGCGTTCTTAGTCTTCTCATCCACTGAAGATGGAATGGGCTGCCTCAAGAGGAAACAAGCTCCCCAGCACTACCAGCTCAATTGCTGTGGCCACAGGAGGGGGAGCTGAGGTCCTAGGGAGGAGACCCAGGCACCTGCGTAGTTGCTGGACAATGAAGACGGCCTTTTAAGGGTTCGCTTCCATCCCGAGACAGCAGCATTCTAAATCAACAGCATGCAATTGTACCACCCAAACTCCAGTCACAGAACTGCTGTAAAGACGAATGCAGGACAAAGCCTGATGCCAATGGGAGTCATCATCGTCATTATTGTAACAGGAGATTCCACAACGTAGAAAGGTGTATGTGTGGTAAAAATGGCAGAGGACTGGGCGCGATCCCAGCCCTAGTGCCAGTACTCTGTCCCAGCCATGACGGGACGTGTCATTAAGCACACCAAGCCTCAGTTTTTCTGTTCTGCAAAATGGCAATGCCACTGCCTTCTGATCTGACCAGACTGTTTTGAGAGCCCAGTAAGACTACGCAGAGGGCCAGCAGGTGGTGCGGTGGTTAAGGCGCTGGACTCCCACATGGCCGACCATGGTTTGAGTCCTGGAACTGGCGGCTTGCTCTCTCACTCTCTTTTACTCTGTTGAGTACATATGCCCTATAACAAATTACAAATAATAATAACACATAAAATTAAATAAATAATTGTTTTAGAAGAGAATACACAAAGGTGTGAATCACCACGCAGACTTAACACTGGGGATTTATTATGCTACTATGGTTCCCTCTGAAGAATCACTTCCTTCGTGAAAAGATTTCGCATAGTTATTCATTTTCTCTATGTTGTTTAGACCACTTCCTGATTGTTTTCACATTATTTGGGATGTTACTCTTAGATTTCCAAAACCCCACCCACATTGTATCACCCCATACCTTGTCTCTTGTCAATGGATAATCAACCTCTGTCCAACTCATTAGAACAGTAAACATCACTTTATGTGTGTGTGTGTATATATATATATGTGTGTGTGTGTAAATATATATATGTGTGTGTGTGTGTGTGTGTAAATACATATTTTTTTCCTTAAGAGATTTTTGCCTGAGGGCATGCTTGCCAGAGAGAAAGGCAAGACAGGGTAAAAGGGAAAGTGAGAAATCACTCTCCATGGGGGATGGCCTCAGCACAATTCATTCCCCTTCATTCTCCTTCTG